CAAGTGAGCGCCCATATTTTACTTTCCTCACGCCTTACATCAACGATCACTGCACCTCAGCTTCTCTGAACGTGTACGCTCGATTTTTACTTTTACACTGATGCAATTTATCTAAGTCTTCATCCAGGCAGACGTTCGATAGATGACTCAGATATATTTTGATTTTATCAGCCATCCTACGGGAGGTGTCAAGCGCTTGCTTTTATCCCGTGATAAATCCATCGTTCATTATTCATTGTCCAACTCCCAGTATTGCGATATGCCCGACTGCTGCATTTCTTTCATTTCACTGCCTTATCCTTTACAGAATTTAGTGATTTCTTGAAGTAAGTTACACAACAACCCAACAACATTGAATCATTTCATACACCTTACCTCCCACGATTCAATCACTCGCCGACAGTGTTAGTTAACGTAAGGAAGGTTATTATCACGAAGGTGCTCATATGAAACCACAAAAGCAACATCATCATAGCGCCGCAGCAGCATGAATTTCGCAGAAATCGGTCCTGCACTACAAACTTGTTGCTAGCCGGAGGAAGCTGGACGAAAAGGTCGATGCCAGAGTAGGAGTGGACCGCTACCTGGACTTCTCTAATGCCTACAACCGCATTAAACACCACACTCTTACAAAAGTTGCGAGACAATGCAATGTGTGATCATGTGTTGGGTTGGATAAACAAACTTCTCAAGCAGCATCAGGTAAGTGTGACAGTTCAAAGCGCTATTTCTGACTTAATTGAAGTCCATTGTCGTGTACCCCAGACATCGGTAAAGGGTCCACGTGTATTCATAGTCTTCATCAAGGATCTTGCCAGTCTGTCGAAAAGACAGGCCGGAACGTACACGAACACTCATCTCGATTCCGATTAGTAAATCTAAAATTCACCCTAAGACAACTCCAAAAATACTGTAGGATTGCGGTTCGTACAAAAGTCGAGAATGCGGAACTGTGTCAAAAGCTTTGAAAAAGTCGATGAATATCACGTCCATCGCTTTCACACAGTCACTGGAATTGTTTGCTCGTCGTAGAGCAATCCCGACCAACTCAAATAGCGGTGCCATGCGTCGCATCCTCCGACAACAACTTAAGCAAAGCTTGCGAGCTGATCGCGCTGATCACAGCGCGCCTCAGAAGTGGAAATGTTAGCCGTCTCCGGATACTTTTGCAAGCGCTTCCAGGTCATTTGGGCACTAGTCACAAATGTCAGTGAGGTTATTTGCGAGGTTGACGGAAAACTGATCACCAACTTTCACAGGCGCACGGACCGCTGGGCTTAAAACTTCCGCACTCCATTCAGCTGGCATCATCCACCGGCGAGCCTAACGAGTCTACCTAGTTGCGTGCCTTGGAACGTCTCGTTGGAACCACCCACCGAGGTTGAGGTCTGTCTTGAATGCCGACACTTGAAGCAATTCAAGTCTGCTGACCAAAACGAACTTCATCCGGAGCTGTTCAACTTTGGTGGCGAAGCAATTGGCAGCCAGCTAACAGCTCTGTTCTCTAAGATCTGGTGTGAAGAAACAGTTCCAACCGCTTGGGGCGAGTCAGTTATCGTCCAGATCTTCAAGAGAGGTACCCGTATCCCATCCGCTAACCACCGAGGAATCAGTCCAATCTTCGTTGCCTCCAAACTGTTAACATGCATTCTACTCTGCCGACTAATCCTCATTCGGGAATTGCGCTTCCGTGAAGAACAAGCTGGTTCCCACCCCAACCCGTGGGTGTATGAACCACTTGTTTACGCTCCGTCAACTCATTAAAACGCGTTATCTTCACCATAGTCCACTATCGTTGTTTTTCCGGACATCTTCGCCATTTTCGTCTTAGTCGCTCGACCAGCTTTATGGCATCGATCACAACGCAATGGAGTACCCGAAAGGTATATCTCCATCCTTCCAGCATTGTATTGTAATGTCTCAGGTGAAGTGAGGGCTTACGGTAAGCTCTCTCCATCTTTTGCCGTCACTATCGATGTACGACAGGGTCGTCCCATCTCCCAGTTTCTCTACAAGTTTTGCGATCGAGAATGTTCTTTTAAACGCTCTCGATGGCTTTCAGAGTTCTGGTGTTGAGCTTCTTCTTAGCAACCGCGTGACCGATCTAGATTATGCTGACGATATTGCATCGCTTGGTGATGACGCAGAGAGCACACAAGCTGTTCTAAAACGCTTGACGACTGAAGCATCAAAATATGGCATGACCTTTGCCTCTGCGAAATACAAAGTCCTGGTCCTCGATTGGCATCCACCTTCCCAATGCTCACTCCTCAAGTTACGATGCTGGAACAAGTGGACAACTTTGTTTACCTGGGAAACCGTGTCCCTGATGATGGGAAGCTTGAAAGAGAGATTTCCCTCCGTATTACCAAAAACCGTTCGGCGGTTACCAACATGAGGCCACTGGGGCGATGTTCTGAATCTCACCATTGATAAAGGGCAGAGTCTACAATGCTTGTGTTCGCGAGGTGCTGTTGTATAGGAGTGAATCCTGGCGGATTCTTGTGACTGATTTTACGTCGGATTTCGGCCTTTGACACCGGACGTCTGCGGAAAATAACGCGAGGGTGGTAGATGAACCACATTTGCATCGACGATGTTAGATGTCGAGCTTTGAGTAACACGGGATTTCCACTTGACAGGCTCGTACCGCTGCGCGAACTTAGAGGACTGGGCCAAGTTTTACGCCTACCATGCAAACGGCCGTCCCGACGCACTCTTTTCGTTCGAACAGGACCAGGCTGAAGCAAATCACGTGGTGACAAACGATTAAAGCGGTGAATTCCAATTTAACTGTCGTAGGTCCCGTGCGCCTTCCGGGTTGGGGGAAGAAAGTTGAAGAACACCGTTGGCTGGGAACTCTTTCTGTGATGGTGCAGAACCGTACCCAATGGAAAATATGTGCCAACATTTGTCTTGAAGTCCATGGTTTAAATGGAAAACATTAACCAGATCAAAAAATAAAGCGGCGTGTGGAAAGTAACCAAAAGGTCAAATTTGATTCAAAAAGAAATAGAGTCTTTTGTAACTTACATCCTTTTCTTTTCGTTGTGCTCTGTAAACATTACTCCCATTTCTTGGTTTTCGCTAGATCTATATCTTACAGACCGTTGCTAGCATATATATATATATATATATATATATATATATATATATATCTTCCAGTCTGCCATGGTTGCACTTTTACTAGTTGCAGGCTGTTCCAAGATCTGGCATGACATAACCTCGGTGGACGATCAAACAACACTATACGAAAATCTCGACAGGCCTACACATGGTCCTCCGAAATTGCGCTAGAATTCAAGGTGGCAAACTGAAGAGTTGTGAGCATTTGCAATCAGCCTCTCTATAAATCTCGACTTCGGCGCCAGCAGTTGCAACATGCTTTCCAGGCAAGCAATCTAAGGAGAATCGTGAAGGATGAACTTGGCTGCTCAAAATAGCCTGCAAAGGTCTCGAACAGATACCATTAACGTGTTGGAATTCTTGCGAAGTAGGTTCGGAACGTTCCAGTCATCCATCTTTTTGTGACTATTGAACCTCTATATGAGGGCCCACTTGGAATACACCATCCATGACTGGCTTCCCAAGAGCAACTCCTGGTACGGATGCGGTTGAAGCTCTCCAACCTAGGACGACGAATTTCGTTATGAGACGGTTTTACATCCTCTGCACACGCAGACTGTAGGCCACTGAATTGTATTGCGGTGAATATCGGCGTCAGTGGGTAGGCCTTATAATGAATAAACAAATACTGGTAAATCCTAAGCAAGCCTGTGGCAATGTCTTACACCTAAACCACAATACTAATTCGAGAAACCACCAACTCAATTTTTCTACGCCCCCACAATCGACTTGCTGGTCGACAAAACGGTAGCTTCCCACAGCTATGCAGAACATGGAACGTCCTTCCAACTGACGTCATTTTGACTTTAACAATAACGCTTTTCAAAAAACGTTTCGCCGACTCACTATCCCACTTGTAGTACGTGATATAGTCCGTTTCACTGAGTTGACGAAATAACTCAAACCAAACTACCTGCTCACCATCTCTTTCCGTATTATAGCGGTGAGGAAATCTACATTAGTGTTGATGTGAATAGCTTGGTAAGTCGCTAAAAACCCGAATTTCTTCCTTTTTCCATTTTATTCTTTACGTTTGGTTTCATAGTCCACACTCTGCTCATAAATCATATGTCATTGTTAACTGTTCTAAATGCGGGGTCCATCCAAAGTGGTGAAATACCGTGTCATGTTAATCAAATCATCCCCACTTCTCTGAGTCTGGTCTAATCCAGGGCAGTAAACATGGACTTATTCTATCAATGAGTAACTTATTACACCTATTGCACTCCCATACACAACTACACTAGATTAGCACTGATCGGTTATCTACATGGTTAGATTGTGTATCCACATAACCAACCCGCGCAATCCGTCGAACGATTCGGGATCCGGAGCCTTAGTGGTGGTAGATACGACCAGGTTTTTAAGCACAAATTAGTCTCGGTTTTACTAGTTGATAACAAAAATGGTAGCATGACATTTATCCTTCCCATAAAATTAGAAAGGATGCTTAGTTGAAAATGGTACGAATTACACTAAAGAGACGAACCCTTAAACTATCATTAACTTAAATCATGTGCACGCAAGTGGCTTAATTTTGATGCATTTAAATCCACCAACAAAAGCTTTCCAGGTATCTTGCTTTGAGTTAGCTGTGACACAAGAAGATAATTGGAGTAATTTAAGCCATCGCTGGGATAAAGTGTCATATTTTACTTCCAGAAACCTGCAGCTGCATTGTAACTTGATTAGCAATTCCATGGTACGGTGATTTTGACATGGCTAGACCTCATCGTGATGCTCATTTGCGATAGTGTTCGTACTAAACATCCATTTGTACATGTACTCATATTTTAAAATGCGAATGATGAGTAAGTGGACGTAGTCAGAAAAACCCTTTTTACTCTACTGCTAAAACACCGATCATTCCGGATATTAGCAATTAAAATATGTGGCAATTCCTAGCATTACTTTGTTCCTCATCAAAATGACCGCTTTCAAACCACAGCGTCGAGTTTACGTGATCATGTGCACCCAGGATGTAAATGAATGACTGTTGCAAACAGTGATGAAGACACTCAGGAATGGAGCTGTTGTGCACAAGTTAGGCCGTGTAATCAATTCTGCCGCCATTGCGATTTGTGAAAACGTTGTAGCCGGTCCATTATATCATTGAGGTTTCCGTTACAGTTTTTGATAATCTTTTTCAGCTCCTTTTCTTCCTGCTGGAATCCCATCTCACGTAGTATTTGTAACGCTACTCCAACATATTTTGATTTCGTTTTTGGCTTGAACGCACTTGTGGTTTCTTCTCGCACGCAGCCACGCTTCTGTGCTTTTGCACCGTGTTCTTTGCTTGCAGTAGTCGCGGTTGGTGATTTTGCTGTTGATGCATGGGTTGATTCCTTACTTTTAGGTTTACTTGATGCGAGGGTGGCATCCGTAACCGGTGGAGCACTGGCATCCATAGAATGATGCATGTTTTGTTGGAGTGTCTGCAGAGGACTAGGTGATATGGGCCATCTTGGTAACGGCGTAGGATACAAGGAGTTGCCAGGATAGCAGTGTCCATACGGATATAGCCCAGCGTATGGTATGTAAGTAGGCATTTGATAAGCGGGCTGTGGTGGTGCATTGCCAAATACATTATGAGTCACTGCTGGGGTTGTGGGAGTGTTAACCGCCGTAGTAACTTCTTCTTGCGTTTCAACATGCAGATCTGCCCTCAGGCTTTGTTCAAGCTCACTAACTTCCTCGTTTGCATTCACCGTGTCAGAACTTGTTGCATTCGGTTGCTCTGTTGTGTTTTCTCTCGTTGCTACTTCAGTAGATCCGACAGTAGCTTCCTCAGTTTCGGTATCTGTTTCAACGATATTGTAAGCATCGGAGTCATCGGGAACCTCTCCAAAAACGGTCTGGTGTTTCTGAGAGTCTGGAGACACAAAAAGGCGAACGGCCTTGTCACTAGATGCATCTCCTGCGAAAAATTCCACTGCTTCTCGAAGATCGGTTTCATCCCTCACTGTACAATAATCAGTTCCATCTGGAAATGGAAAGGTTTGGAGATAGTGATGTGAAGGGAGTAAAAAGAACTTGGTATACGTTAAGAAAAATGGAAAAGTGCAACCAAACGGCTTATTGTGCTATACGACTGTACTACGGAAATCAGGGACGCCCCAAAATGTGCACGAATTCCCAAAGTTGCCTCTGATTTTCATCTCACAAGTTCGTTATCATATTTTTAATTAATCAGTATCATCATGGCAGAATCAGATTAAAATCGCCACGAATTCCGTATGAATAATAAACAGAGCTAACACAGACTGCATTGATATAGTACGTATTATGCGCGAAACAAGGAGTAGATTTTGATTTTCATGGCGATAAATAGGCTTAAGGTCGAGCAAACCTTCGCTTTCTCTTGGTTTCTTCCCACCCATAATCATATAAACGCATAGTCGCTAATCTTCTAATCAATCACGGCTTGCAATAATTTCGGGCCCACACTGCCACACGACATTTTCTATAGACTGCTTACTGGGAACTGTAACCACAATGAACAATGGTGGCCACTGCGTGTCAGAATGTACACTCCGTACAATCTTTGCTTACTGTCTTAGGGCGATGAGCGTGAGCAACATAAAAAGCGCTTCGAAAACATGCTTACCAAACCAGGAAATAAAAAATTGTATCGAAGACGTGTGAAGCAGTTTTTGCAATCTGCAAATCAATTCGGCCCATGTGTGAGATCCAATCTCTCCTTTAACCATCCATCGAGTAACTTCCATCTTCGTCTCAGTCCGACTTGAAGCAGTGACCAGTTTGAATAAAGGCATGTGGAGACGAGTTGAATGCGACACTCATCCCGGAAGCACTCCTTGCGTATTTATATCTTTCATTAAGTATCTACTAGTAAATGTAACCACGTGAGTACTGCTTCAGGTACGGTCGACATACCAAAATTTAGTCAAATTGTGTGTGTCGGTGTTAGCTGTGTCTCGGAGGGTCGATGCGACGCCAAATTGGTGAAAAAGAGTGTCTAACTGTTGCTCTATGCATGTGTCAGCGCACGTGTGAGTATGAGCGCCTATACAAACAAGGAAATGATGCCGAAGCACGTAAAGCCAAAGCCATTATATTCGAAACGTATAGATACCAACAGTTTTCAAAACATGGAACTTCCTAATATCTGACCCGTTAAGATAAAGAAAAGCTAACATTGTTAGACACAATAGATGGTCAGAGAGAAAGGTGCATAATCAAAGTGCATGCTGCAAGACCGCTTATTTCTTCACTTACAGCGATAACCAATTCAATTTTTTGGAAGGCTGGTTGTATCGATATCTAAGTGCATGCTGTCACCTTTTAGACTTAAATTATATCGCCACTGTGCAGCCGCTTTCGAATGCAGCTAACGTGGGTGCAAGAATGATACAAGTTTGAAAACTGTCTCAGAGTTCAATAGTTTAGTACGAAAAGATTCCCGGAACATCCCCACTGGCTATAATGTGCGGTCTAGTTTAACTTATGGCTCCCCAGGTTTGAGTTGCAACGAAGATTAAGTAGGTAGCCATAAGTGCTGTGTGGACTCTTAACTGTCCAGCACGCCAATAGAAAACCCAATTGCAGAGATTGATATCATCCGGCACGCACTATCGGAAGTTTTATTATAACTTCTCACCGGGGCTAGTATACATCAAGAGATTGCATACGCACAAAGAGCTGCTGATCCATGATCTTAGGTCATAATCAAAACCAGAAATCGAAATGTGGGTGAACAATGAAGGATGAACAGTGATTTGTCACGGATAAAAATGCAAGTGCTTGACCACTCCCGTAGGATGTTTGGAGTAAAAATTAAAATTGTAGGGGTCAACGAATAAGTAAATCGTCATTGTAATCGCCTAGCAATTTAAATACACTATTGCATAACGATAGTTTGAAATGGGATGGGATGTGCACACACATAATAGTATAGTGAGCTATTATAGTTCAGTAAGTGCGTGAGAAATAAAAAGGAAACTACAACGCTCACTCATGTGTTGCTTCATTTGACAGATGCGTTATAGTAATCCAGTTAAGATACATCCATGCTACTCACAAGGACGCCACTGCATGTATCCTTATCGCCACGTTGAGGAGAGGGCCGTTAGGCACATGGTTTGGTTTGCGTTATTTCGTCCTCCGAGTGAAACAAACTGCATCAAATAATGCTGGTTGGAAGCGTGCCTTCAATGCGCCTTTTGAATAGCGTTAATGTAAGAGCAAGGATGACGTGAGTCGGAACAGCGTTCCAGGCACAAGAGACACGGAGTGAGAACAAGTTTCGTCGACAGTCACTTCGACTGTAGTGCGTTGGCAGTTTGAACTGATGCCTCACAGGTTGGTATTTTGGCTCAGCTGCAGAAAATTGCGACATGGGTGAGTTGGGTTCGTCAGTATTAACTGGATCATGATTAGGTCTACTCCTTGACGTTGATATTCACCACTGTACAATTCCACAGACTGCAGTCTGTTCTGTTTGGAGAAATGAAACAATCTTCTAACGAATTTGTTTGCTCTACGTTGTGAAGCTACAAGTGCACTGCTGTCGCGCTTACGCCAGGGATTCCAGGCTGTGGTCGCAAATTTCATGTGGGGCCTCACGAAGGCCCTCAGTATGTAAGGAAAGATTGATGGCACGAAGTTTCTGAAAGCCCTCCGTTAGAGTCTAAGATGTTGACCGGCTCCCTTTGATGCATTTTCAGCCTGTTTCGAGCAGCCGAGATCGTTCTGCAGGATCACCCGAGGTCGATTTCTTGAAAAGCACGTTGCAACTGCTGGTCCCCAAGTCGATATTTCTAGGTAGGTTGATGGCTTATACTCACAAATTGACATTTTGCCACGTTGAACTGGAGCTGCTTTTCGAATGACCATGTGCAGGCCCCGTTGAGATTTGCCTGCAGTGCCTTGTGATCGTTTACCTTCTTTGTGTTTTGCCAGATCAGGACGTCGTCTGTAAATGGTAAAAATGAAAAGTCCGAACACTGGGGAGATCCTTGATGGAGGCTAGAAATAAACGTTGGCCTAGTAACGCACCTTGGGGTACACCACACGGAACTTCACTTAAGTCAGAAATAGCGCTGACATTGCATGAGAAGGTTGTTTATCCAACCCTGCGCAGGGTCACCGACACCATAGCTTCGATGTTTTTGAAGAAATATTCGACTGTCCAGGTGATAGAACGCTTTAGAGAATTTGACGTAGACGACGTCGACTCTCAGTCTGACATTGACTTTTTCCGTCCAGCTTTCTCTGGCTAGCAGCAAGTTTGTCGTGCAGAACCGATTTCGACGAAATCCGTGCTGCTGTGGCGCTATGACATTGCTTTCTAGTTATCTTATGACCAACCCAGAGATAATAACTGGTGGCGAGTGACTGAAAGTGGAAGGCAAGATGTGTGAAGTGCATTACTGTCAGCACGTCCAAGATGTTGTTATTTTACTTCAATAAATCACTAAATTCTGAAAACGATAGAACAGTGAAGTGTAAGAAAATTGCGCAATGTGGCAAATCACGATACTGGGGATGGTGAAGCTAGCAGATTAATTAATAGATTTATGGCTCATGATTAGAGCGTGTTTAAGCTGTTAAAACAATATGGCCGTTAAGAGAACTGGACTTGTGTCATACCATAGAGTACTTAACTGCGGCAATGTGCCACCTATTCGGTGAGTAGTCACCCAATGAATGTATCAGTTCAAAGAGGATTTGAAAACTACCGGCGTCTAAGGTCAAAGAACAATGAGGAATATATGCGAAGGTACTAATGAAGGCTCATATCTTGAAAGCGAAACAAAATACTGTCGCTAGGGGTATACTACTTTGGACTGAACAGCGGTCATTTCAGCAAACTGACTGCTGGACAGTGTGGCGCTCATTCGCAATGCTTCACCATCAATCTCAACGTTTGGATGTCACAAGTGTCCATTGCAAAGTAAAGTGCCATTGATGAACAAGCCTCAAAGATTACGCGACCAAGGGACCATACTTTACAACAATGTGTATTGTGCTGAAAATAAGGAAGAATCGCTGCACCGACACGTCTCATCTCACGCTGCATCATCTTGACAAATTTCGTTTCGTTCAACAGTAGGAACTTGTGTGTGCGGAGTTATCAACAGGTTTTGGTGGAAGCTGCAACTGTTCCCTATGTTCAGAAATGAACATAAGTGTATGCTTAGATGCTTTAATTTTTGCCGACTATGTCAAGATGTGGTGGGGGCTTGTCGACCAAGTGGATAACGCAGCTCTCCAACAACACTTTGAGAGGACATAACAGCTGATGTTCAAGGATTGCTTCAATTTCTTCTATTCACTTGTGAAGCTGACTAAACTCTTTACCAACAGAATAGCATATGGACGCTTGGAGAACCCGAGTTACGCCCTATGTACGAGGAGGCTGATGTTGGGATGCTAATCCAGGAAGACATCGGCTGCTGAAATTCCATCTGACCAAGAGTCGAGGACCGACATCCAAAGTGTCCTTTTGTTATGGATGCAGCTGTGGTTGTATGATCCATCTGCGTGTCCCAGTTTCTTAACTCCATGCAGCAGCATGTGTATCATATTAGGTGGGACTGGTAGACATAGTTGAACCAGGTTATTTTCGCGCTCGAGACTCCACAACAAACATCCACTATGCACGCTAGTGGATTGTTCCGCTTTGATTACCACACTAGTTTAAGAGTTCTAAAATATTACGGGGGCCATTATTGGCACCTATGGCGTGAGCATTCATTGACAGAAATCCCTTATCAGTGACGAGTGAGTGAGCCAATCTGCAACACCAGGACAGTTACTGTGAGCTCATTAGCAATACGTCGCGCACCAAGCGGCAGTCATGTATTAAATTGTGCACCTAATTATCAGTCTTCGGTAACTCAGTGGTAGAGCAGCGGACCGGAAATTCATGGACCGCGGGACGATTCCCCCTAGAGGCAGATTATTGTGCGCAGTTTAGTCGCGACTTCTACTTTCTACGAACACTCCCAATTCGTTTTC